AGTTATTTAAGTGTACATACAACAATAATTATCACTCGAGTATTGTGATGACTTCATTAAGGCATTGTATGGGAGGATGTGTAGGTATTCAATTGGTTGGTTTGGGGACGGAGATTATATCATAAAGTGAGACTTAGTTTCGTCAAACAAGACCTTCTGTATGAGAAAAAACCCATGGAAATTCTTGATCGCGTTGTCCGAAAGCTAAGGACATGCGGGATAAGTATCCCCAGTTGTTCAGTGATTCAGGTACTACTCTACCCTTACTTTAACCAGTCTTTTCTAATTGATCACTCGGGGACGAGTTATGGGTAAATTGGTATCTCTTGTAAAGACCTGATTCCGTCGTTAGGGAAAAGCCAATGGGAAAAGAATTGATTTCCTAGCCTAGTCCAGATTTGGACAAAATCGGAGTCATGTGAGTCTACGAAAATCTGGTAACGATTGGGAGATTAAATTAGGAATTTGATCATATGAGTAGATAGCTAAGATGTTAAGGAATCCATACGACTTTATGGAATCAAATTCGGGCGAGTAGAACTTCTGAAACTGATCTTAGCGTGAATGGGTATTTTCTGAGTGTCATGGGATGAAGGTGTGTTGTGAAATGGGGGTTTGAGACTCTAATTATGACGTTCTGTCTCCAGGGAAGCCGCCATGGGGGAATTTATCTCGTCATAGCGGGCCAGTCGTGACTTAAGTCAGAAATAAACCCCAAAAACGTTTTATTCTGCAAGTTTCTACTTTGAGAGCTAAGGAACGTACCCATGTGTTTTCTTGATAGTTTTCCACCATTCTTGAGGCTAACGGTAAGGTTTTCACTTCCCAAATCCATTTTTTGATCCGTAGAACTTAGTATCTTGGGGAATTATCGATGGGGGAGGGTGTTGATTTGGAATTTATGGTGGAAAAATCCCTAATCTGGGTATGGGGATCAAGGGTTTGACCTAGGGTTGATGTTATTGATTATAATTCGGGTAATTAGGTCCTGTTTATTGATCCTCGCATTATTATGATTGTTTGTAGACCAAGAACAAATGAAAAGAATCCCAAAAGGGAAGAATCAAGTTTCTTAGGGGATTTAAGTTTTGTTCGAGGTAGGTGATGGTTGTGATTTCATGTTGTGTGATATATGTTTGTACTTGCTTCATTATATTGTATGTATGTATGCAAATGTTGCATTATTGATCACACTAATTGTAAATAAGTATGAACGAATAATTATATGCCATTAATCACCTCTTAATTGTATGATTGTGAGAATGTATATTGTGATTGTGATTGTGGTATGTTGAATGGAGAGGGTGTCACGTTCCGACACACTAACTGGGATCTGATGTCACGTACCGACATAAATATTAGAACGGGTGTCACGATCCGATACACTAACTTGGAACGGGTGCCACGATTCGGTACACTAACGGTTTGCGTTCCATGAGAGGACCAATGACTTGTTATACATATGTGTATTGTTGAGAAGGTGGGATTGTACGTTGATCCTGAAATCATATTGACATTGTATGTGTTTGGTGTATGCATGTTTATGATGTTGTAATTTCTTGCTTATATTGCACTTAGTGGGATAGCCGTGTGATCTTACCAGTACACTGTGGTTGTGTACTGATACTGTACTTACTCTTTCTTTGTTGAGTACAGGGCATCTTCAGGCGGTACTGACAGACCTCGTTTAGAAGATCAGTGATCGTCATCGAATTCAATAGTGAGCCAGTTCTTCCGGACTGCCTTGAGTTCTCCTTTTGTGTAGTTCATTTCTTCGGACTTAGACTAGTTCTTTAGATAATTCTCATGTTTAGTTTGGATTGTACCTATTTCTTTAGACTATGGTTCCTTGTTATAGTTTTGGTACATTGACTTTCAGGTTCTAGGGAATAATTTCCGCAATGTTTGTTTGTTCTTTTGGAGTTTATGTGAACTCTACTTTAATTCTGCATTTAAACCTGCTTTTGTATCTTTAAATGCTTAGTCTTATGGTTAGTTGGGTTGTAGTAATGGTTCTCCCACCGGAGGGTTAGTGTGGGTGCCAATCACGATGGTCTGGGTCGTGACACTCTCGAACTAGGATGATTTGGGCTTGATCTTTGTAATTCGAGGGTCGTTGACATATTTCTCGAATTAAGATGATTTGAATTTGATCCTTTATAAATATTTCATGAATTAATTAAATATAAAATAATAAATAACCTCTTAATTTTTCGAATTTGGACAAATACAAGTACAAACTAGAAACTAAAGATTTTTTGCATAGTTGCTAATCATCATATAAGACATCACTAATAAGAAAAGATTGTAGAAACTAAAACAAATATTAATTTGAAAAAGTTAATTACTGCTACAGCTAGAAAGGTAAAATTGACCAACTTTAGTATTAAAAAACATTAATCAAGGTTGCGGAGAAAATATAGAAGACCCGACCAAAAAGATAAATAAACATAATTAATCTTTTTAAAGTCACCTTTAAAACATCTAATCTTTGTATAGCCCTTTTTATAACTTTAATAACATATTTATAATCAAGCCACTTTCCTTACAATATCTGCACGGCCTTTAATGAAGATTTAGATAAAGATTCAAAGCATTGGGTGCCGTAAACTATTTCACAACCCATAATAGAAAAATACAATCTACGAAAATAAAGATTAGATGGAGATTTAGTACATATATATATTTCATATATTCATATAGATTGTTCTAAGTATACAATTATTTGCAGAGCTATAGAACAGTTGAATACTTTTCGTCTTAATTATAATATATAAAGAATATATTGCATTTAATAGAAAGACGTATGTATAAAAATATAATTGTGGAAGGTGTGCAATTTAGAGGAAAAACACTATATTAATTGCATTCGTAAAAAAAATTGTCCTTCTCGTTCTTGAAGGGTACGTTTCTATTTAGCTGTTATACAATTCAAACCTACGACCGATCGGTTGGATGAGGAAAGCGTTCTCACTAAGCAAGTGCCATTCTTCAAATTTGTACTAAATTATTTACATCATTATATTGGAAAGGATAGTGGAATCAAAGCAATTACACTTGATGTTTTGAGTCCAAAATGCGCCTTATACTCCAAAAAAACACGTGGGACATCCAAACACACTAGAGATTAATGTTTGGATGCTAATACAAATAAAATCTTCTGATCTTAACATATTGTTAAAGAATATTTTGAGCTGTTTCACTTAAAACACAATATGTGTATGTTATCAACTTGACCCTAACAAAGAAAATAACTTTTACTTTACACACACATGCATGATGTTGGAAAGAAAATGATGCGTCCTTTACATATGATGTTGGCCATTGTGTCTTCCTTCCACCATAGCCATTCAAAAAGATAAGAAAACCATTATATACACCAAAACATCAAAATTAGAATAGTGTCCTACATGTCTAGATGTCTTGTATTTAAACTTTATAACGTCAATATTAAATTAGTATCGCACCGACTAAATATTTTTACGCATACACATTCTATTATACTGTAAGACTAAACGTGACATCTAATATCGTGTAAGATTACCGGAAGAACTTTTTTTTCTCTACCGTACTTTGGGGGAAAAAAAATCATGCTAACTGCAATCAGAAACTAGAACACTTAACTATGACTTCAAAAATAAGTACAATATTCATTAATTTGGGTAATATATGATCTGAATTGTGAGTTGATCATGATTACATTGTTGAAACAAATCTATGACTTTCATTGACTAATCGTCACTATTCAATGGCCTGTACGTACACTACTGCGTGGGCCTTTTTTACTTGATTCACATGTGAGGTTGGTGAGATCGAATCATCAACCTATTATTGGTGATCTTACAAGTTTTTATTGGATTTGCTCCTTGAATCAATATTATACAATACACTCCCTCTCTTTATATGGCCCTTTGAGGGATGAATGGTATTTTTAATATGACATGTGTAATCTTCATTTTTTGAGATGATTTTTAAGGTTAAGTTAGGCTTAAGTATGATATTTTTACATGGTATCAAAATAAGATTCATTTCAATTCTTATTTTTGATGTTGAACCTTCTGTATTAAATTGTTCACGTGCCAGATGTCCAGCTTTAAGCATGAGGGGTGTTTGATTAAGAGATCGGACGGATGATATCTTTAATATGGCCTCGACAATTCTCACTTTCTGAACTAGCTTTAGGGTTGAGTTAGACTCATATGTCCATATCTTTACATAATATCAGAGTCGAACTCATTCAAACTTTCACTTTCGATGTTGAGCATCTATGTTAAATTATTCACACACCAAATATGTGTTAATTTCCTTTTTAATCCATTAAAAAAAAGAACCGCATCTTTTTAAATTTCAAAAGAATTTTACTTAAAAAATTTCATCACTGTTAAAATTTATGCACAATAAAACTTCCCCACATAAATTAATGGTATAATACAGAAATATGTCACTTAACTTGGCCTTGACTTTCATTTACGTTCTCCAATTTTTGGTGTGTGTATAAGTAGATACTTAAACTTGTATAAAGTTGAACAAATTGACACATGTGTCCTACGTGGTATCCTACGTAGCAATTTGCATCCTCCGTGGCATCCTACGTAGCAATTTGCATCCTACGCGTAGTGTCCTACATGTATTATGCCACGTAGGACGCATGTGTCTACTTGTTCAACTTTATACAAGTTTAAGTATATGATTATGCACACCCAAAATTAAATTACATATATATGAAATGAAAATACGTTTACGTATTATGCTTAAATTAATACACACGAGTAGTTGTATACATGTGTCGATATGTATAGTGTGGATTTGCATGTGGCAGTACGGCAGAGAAAAAGTAAAAGAGGTGTTAAAGCTTAGGGTATTGACTACAATCACATTAATGGGCAAGAAAAGTATAGCTATGTCTTTATTAGAGAAATAAACAAAAAAAAAAAGGAGGGGCCTCGTGTATATATATATTTGATTCTTGGTTAAGTAATTCTTTCATACACAAACTCCTCACAATATTTTTTTCTCTCATTAATATTCTTGACTAATACAATTATGGTTAGCAAGAAACCAAAAGTAGTTATAATTGGGGCAGGAATGGCTGGTCTGACAGCTGCTAACAAACTTTATACAACAGCAGGGTGTAAAGATTTGTTAGATTTGTGTGTTGTGGAAGGTGGCAATAGAATTGGTGGAAGAATTAACACATCAGAGTTTGGTGGTGACAGAATTGAGATGGGTGCTACTTGGATCCATGGAATTGCAGGCAGTCCTGTTTACAAAATTGCTCAAGATATAAATTCATTGCAATCTGAGCAGCCCTGGGAGTGTATGGATGGGCTTTTGGAAACTGAAGCAATCACAGTAGCTGAAGATGGGTATGTGCTTGATTCTTCTTTTGTTGAGCCCATTTCGAATCTTTTCAACGAACTTATGAATATTTCTCAAAGGAAATTAGTTACTGAAAATGAAATACCTAAATTATCTAATGTAATGAGTATTGGTTCTTTTCTTCGGAGGGGTCTTGATGCTTATTGGGATGAACATGAACATGAACATGAATTCAAAGGGTTGGATAAACGGAGAAAAAGAATATCACTTGAACAAGGCATTTTTGCCATGTTTGAGAGTATCCAAAGGACTTATACATCAGCTAATGATTTGGAAATGCTAGATTTCAATGCAGAAAAAGAGTATTGCATGTTTCCTGGAGAAGAAATAACTATTGCCAGAGGCTATTTATCTGTGATTGAATCTTTGGCCTCTGTTCTACCGCCTGGTTTGATTCAATTAGGCCGAAAAGTCACAAAGATTGAGTGGCAGCCTGATGAGTCGTTAGAAATTGAAAATGGCAATAATAAGCCACCAGTGAAGCTACATTTCGCTGATGGATCAATTATGTATGCGGATCATGTCATAGTTACAGTCTCACTTGGTGTTTTAAAACAGGGGATTCGCGAAGATTGTGGTATGTTTAATCCCCCACTTGCTAGTTTCAAAACAGAAGCAATCACAAGGCTTGGTTTTGGTGTTGTCAACAAGGTATTCTTGAAACTAACTCCGACCCCTGATGGCATAAAGTTTCCCTCCCTACAGATGGTGTTTCATAATGAGTCGGAACAAAACCTGAAAATCCCTTGGTGGATGAGGAGGACAGCTAATTTGTGTCCAATCTATGGCAACTCAAATGTTTTAATATCATGGTTTGTAGGTAAAGAAGCTCTTGAGGTGGAATCTCTTGGTGATGAGGAGATCATTGATGGGTTCTCAAAAACTATCTCTAGCTTCCTAATAAACTCACATTCTGATGATGCAGAAAGTATGTTTAAAGTGGAAAAGGTGTTAAAGAGTCAATGGGGAAATGATCCACTCTTCTTGGGTTCATATAGTTATGTAGCAATTGATTCTAGTGGAGACGATTTGGATGCCATGGCTGAGCCGTTGCCAAAAAAGACTAGCATTCATTCAAATATTTCACCTCCGCCACTTCAAATTCTGTTTGCAGGGGAAGCAACACATAGAACACACTATTCAACAACTCATGGTGCTTACTTTAGTGGCATTAGAGAAGCCGATAGGCTTCTTCAACACTATCATTGTATTGAGATATGAAAAAAAAAATGTTTGTTGTCTATAGAACCTAGGCAGGTATTTTTCTTTAATTTATTTTCCTGATGTAGTGATTAAAGAAGCTCCTTTTGAATTTTCTATTGCTTTCAATATGTTTGAGATTCTTATTTGATTCTTGCTCTACTAAAGCTGATTATGCTTTGCATACTTATAATTAATTTGAAAGATAAAGGTAAAGAAAAAGTAGCTAGTTAGCTTTTTAGCTCATCATATTTTGTCCATCTTTATGGAGTCTCCTTCAATATGGTCAATTGACAGGATCCGATAAAACCGGGCATATATCCAACTAGCTAGGATACTTCTCTCTGGTTAAAGTATTCTTAGCATTTTCACGATATGGTTATGATCAATTAATGAGACTTTTCTTTTACAAATCTTTTGAACGTCTATCGAGATATGTTATTGCTTATGTGATACTATTTTCTTAATAGTTTGTTAAACTATATTTGTAAAACAATTTAATTTTAAATTTCTAATATTTCAAACTAGTCTTTATTTGGGGTAGGGATGTCAATGGGGCGGTGCGAGGCTGGGCGGGTTGAGCTTAACCTGCAAAATTTTTTAGCCGCCCCGCTCCTCCCCACATAACAATTTCATTTTCAAGCCGCCCCGCATAAACCCACCTCGCATGAACCCGCATCACATAAATTGTTTAATATTTTTCTTTTCTAGGTTAGTTTGATAATAAAACTAAAATTCATCAAAATAAATTTATTTTTTCATCAAGTTATATTAATTTAATAGATATTGACTTAAAATTTTATTTTTTTGAGGTCAATTGGGAAGCATGTAAGAAATTGTGTTAGTTTTGATTGAACCATTTTCATTTACTATCTTGAATATTTTAGTAACTTTAAAAAAATGTCTTAATAAATAATGTTCTACAACTCTTATAACATGTAAAAAATAAAATTAAGTTTGAACCCGCATAAAATCGCATAGACCCGTAACCCGCCCCGTCCCGCATTAATTTCTAAAAAACTCACTTCAACCTGCTCCACATCCGTCCCCTCCCCGCATAACCTTCAACTCACACTGTCCCGTGTAGTCTTAAACCACCCCGCCCCGCGTAGCCTTAAACCCACCCCACCCAACATCTGTCCCGCCACATTTTCATCCCTAATTCAAGGATTAAACTACACCAGATAAATTGAAATGAATGGAATAGTAAATACAAATGATATTTCTTTTTCAGTTTTGATGCTAAAAACTGATGGATGCCCTTAAGAATGAGACAGTAAGTAGGGATTCTGAAGGTTTGTGGTGGAGAAGGGTCTTGATCTCTTAGGTTGAGACCCACACCAAAATGATAGGTCCCATTCCAAAGCACATCAAGACAATACATATATTAATTTACTATAATAAAAATAACTTTTAGCAGCAATAAATAGACACATTAATAAAGAGTGTTAAAATCTTTACCAGCATTAGTTAAGTGTCATTAGATTTAATGTCGTTAATTGCTTTAAGGGCATATATAAAGAGTGCTAATTTCCACTAAAAAATACATATTTAGAGATAATTAAGCTATTATCATTAATTAATTACTGCTAAAGATCATTTTTGATGTAGTGATTGAAACATATTAGAGCTAACAGTACCAACTCATTTTTTGGTACATTATTGGTCATATCTTTTCACATAAAATTCCATCATGTGCATACTTATCAACAAACATTAACAAAATGCAGCATCGATACAACTTAATTATTGCATTGTGGTCATATTGTGCGCACCTTGACTTGTTTATCGCACAATAAATCAGCCACAACAGTTTTTGATGTCATAATTCTCATTTAAAACAGTCAAACTGTTACAGTCCTCTGATATGGATCTAGTTGTGGAGCGCTGCAATATGGAATCAAATATTTTCTTTATACATCTATGGTGTTGGTTCTTTAAGAGAACTTGGAATCTTTAAGTTTGAAGTACTCAAAAACTAATAATTATCAGCTTATTTTTTTCATTGAATTCAAATAACTTAAATACAACTTTGGTGGATTAACCACCCACCTAATAAGGAAATAACTTCCTACTACTACTGAAATGAGAAAATGAAGGAATAGCCTCCTTACTGCTAATAAATGTTACAAAGAAAACAACTGCTACACTAAAACAACTTGTTATAGAGAAAATAGAAAAACATGATAATTAATAGTTGTTGATTTGATCAACTTTTCCATGCATAAAACTACTGGCAGACTAAAAGGGCTAATAATAACACACAACTAACCATTCAGGATTATAAAAAAAATGAGCACAAATTTTCACTTCTTTTTGTCAATTCTCCTTGAGATGGATTGGTGTAGATCATCTTGTTGTAGATATTGATTGGTCAAATCAAAGGGGGCATCTGTTCATGAAGACTCTATTATTGTAAAAGAGTAGCCCAACCAGGCTCTAAAAGAAATTGATTCAATTGCCCTTTTTTTTATATATGTATATATGGGGTTTCCAATCAGCCGTTTAATGATTGTGCATATTTTTTTTTATCACCATCACCATTCACTTCAACATCTTTATCGTAAATACAAAAGATTAATGGCTATAATCAAATAGCTTTGGACCCTTTGAATCATCATCCTCATCATTACTTGTTAACATTTTCAATAATGCTTAATTTTCTTTTATTGGGTGAATTCTCTAGTCCCTACTTACCTAGGGTGTAACAAATCAATACTCTTTAAGGGGCCAATCCACAATGATTGTGACTTGGCTAAAGCTCCAACTAAATAATAGCTTTACCTCTTTGCACTATTTAATTTGTTAGTTTTAGTATGATGGTCCCTCAAAATTAACCATTGTATTATCGACTACTAAGCATGTTTTGTACTCATTTCTTAAGCAATAAGCAATATTTGCCTGCCTAATCTTTTTAAGGAGAGAAGTATTGAAAACTTTTAAATTTAGCACGGATTATTAGTTTCATCATCAAATTATTGACAATCTTAAAAATATTTCTTTACTTGACTAACTGAACTTAAATACACTCCCGATCTTGCAAGTTGCACACTCTTAAATTCTCGCCAAGTTTAGGGTTGTTTTCAACATTTTTCTCGGCTTTTTATTAAGAGCCTCATGTTCCTACCGGAGTTTGAGACCACTTGGTATGTCATGTGGAAAATGGGAGTGTATGTATGTTTAGTTAGTCAAGTAGAGAGGTATTTTAAAACTGTCAATAGTTTGGGGACAAAACAAATAATTTGATCTAAGTTATCCAACAACAGGCTAGGCAAAAAAGACCGTTAACGCCTTCACATTTCCTATAGCTTGAAAGAATCTATAGGCTCCTTTGTGAAGTGATTCACGGGTGGGAATCACGAACGGTCTTAAGTGAACTAATTAAATAATGGACCATCGAGAGTGAGTAAACGACTAGCCAAAGCTTCTCGTTTGAAGAAAAATCATGATGAAAATGTGGGGTGTTTTCAATACTTCTCTCTTTTTTTAAGTTGAAAAACAAAACATGAACAAGCAACAACAAATTAGACACAAACTATAAAGTATTAATTAATCATGCAGACATACATATTGTACTTAAACCCTTCTGGCCTTTTCTTGAATACATATTTGTTTAGGATGTGACATGAAATGTTGTTCATATGTACAAGCAACTAATTATAAAAATGTAAATCAATTTAAGTATGTGGTGCTGTTCATGAGCAGTTATGCTGCAGTTGGAACATCACATATATAGATAATCAAGAATGTCCAACAAGTATAAATGTATAATTTTGTTTAATAGCTAAGTACATTTATTGGTTTTCTTTAAGTTAAATCACACCAAACACAATTTATGTCCTTAATTTGTTTGTTTAAAACATCATGAGATCATCAAACTTCCAGTTCCATCTTTTGCCAACCATCTTTATTTAAATATGAAATCTTTTAATGGTGAATAAAAATGTAATGACCCATCATTTGATTCACAAAATCTTAGATAAGTATTTGCACATACAAGAGGAACATTGTTTCTTCTTTTAACAAAAAAAATGTTAGTTAATATTATCATATTGGCATCTCAAATTTTACTTTTAAAATAGGTAGATAGTAAAAGGAAGGGCTACCCCTTTTAACATTATCTTTTTTATAAAGTAAAGAATAAAATATAAATAGGAATCTAGAGGACTAGCAAGCAATTACTAGGGAAAATACGGCTTTTTTAAAGGTATTTTCTCACTTCCAAGAAATGTATGATTGTCATTATTTTACTTTTTTTGAGAATCAAATGAAGTGAGCTTTCATTTTGTATAAGTACTACTTTAAAATGTATTTGTCAGAGTGTTTTACTTTTTTTAATGTAAATTTTTTTGACTCAAATTTAAATTTAATTGGGCTTTAATATGAGTATTGAACATCGAATGAGAAATTAAAAAATCTATATTTTCTGCTATTATGATTTGAAGAAAATCAGTCTTTAGGAACCTTTTGTATATTATATTAACTAGACATTGGAGGCCGTACTAGCATGAACCCAATATAAATTACTTTTTCTCTCTTAATTTATGTGACCATATATGGAATTTGGAGAGTCATCTTATTTTTAAAAATATTTTAATTTGTTGTTATTGTAATTTATATTACTGTTAGTGTCATTTTCAAATAATATATGTTACTTTATCTATCCTAATTTATGTGGGATTGACATAATTTTGAAAGTCAACCAAATGTTTAATATGTCTTCTAAATATCTTAAGTTATTAATTATTATGATTCATAGTATTGCTTGTGTAATTTTTAAATACTATATGTTACTTCCTCTTTCCCAATTTATGTAGCACTAATAGAATTTCAAAAGTCAAACATTATTTTAATATATTTTTTAAATAATATATATTATTCTACTTGTCCCAAATATATATATAAAATTTCTTGAGTTAGCAAAATTTTATATATGTTTTCAAAAATATTTCAAGAGGTTAGTTATTGAAATTTATAGGACTTTTTACGTCATTTTCAAATAATACATGTTACTTTCTTTGTTCCAATTTATGTGGAACCGATAGAATTTCAAAAGTCAAATGATCTTTTATGTCTTTTAATTATTGTTATTTACAATATTCTTACGTAATTTTTAATATATAAAAAACTAAAAAGACAAGACAAACAAAT